ACAAAGAAAAGTATGCATATTATTAACATAAATAGAACAAGTCACAAAGGACATTAATTTTGGACAAAAGAACTTACCATCAACATACTAGTAAATGACTACACTTGAGGTAGTGCTTATAATGTTGGAGGTGCAGAACATGAAATTAGAGCATTTGGTTCCTCACTTCTTACATTGGCTAGGGACCTACTTATCTTTTCCTGATGCTTACGAAAATTCTTAAATCTTTTCTTTCTCTTAGTTCCATCTCTCTTTTTAATGCCCTTGGGTTGTTTATCTTTTAGTTCCATCTTCTTTTTCCCTAAGCTACCTCCTTCCTCCTTACCTTTATCTTCTTCCTTTTTGTTGTCATCATTTGAATTCCTTAGCCTTGAATGGAAGTCTCTTGCTTCTTTATGAAGCTTAATTATAGAGTTCTGGACAAAGGTAGAAGTCTTTGGACAGTCAAACATTTTAGCTGCTAATGTTATCATTATGTGACATAATTGTTGATATGTTTGTGTGCTCTGAAGCTTAGGATCCACTTGTATGTCATTTCCTCTAAAATCATGTATTACACCATCTCTTGCATCTTTAGTCCATCTTTTCAAAATATATTTTTCTCGTAGTTTTCTCGCTTCATTTGCCTCATATACTTTTAGAGTATGACAACATAATATTCTATTTGATTCAAAATTCCTATAACTGCACCATATGGAATCATCTTTCGGATCAAATGTCAATGTCCACCTTTTGTCTTCATTAACCATGGTGTACCGATATATGTGAACAATAGACCTTTCTCATCTTGTGAGGAAATGCATGTGGCAAAAAAGAGATCTAATTGTTCTTGGAACAATTCCAACACTGGGGCAGTGTAAATTTCAGTAAGTTGTTGCAGTATAGGTGAAATTTGGACTATCAATCATGGGTTTTTCTCCCTTGCTTCATATTTACATTTCATCTCATTATACCTCTTATCTGCAATAACCCGGTGAAGACTTTTGAAGAATTCATCAATATTATGACTTGGGTTTGTAACACTCTTGATATCTGCATTAACGCTTTCACTTATTTGTGTGCTATGTATACCAAGAGTAATATAGTATTTCATATAACACAATGCCCATTTCTCTTTGATTTTATATATGGACTTCATCAATGAGTTGTCTTCCAAATTGAATGATGATATTAGAAAAGCCCATATTTCTTTAAATTGTGATTTGTCCTCAATAGCAAACATACACTTACTGAAGTCTCACAAAAAATGTGAACCACCCTTTATCTTATTTCCTATATGTTTTATTCCATTTTGTTCAATATGCCATGTGCATAATGCATGCTTCACTTTAGGAATAACTTCATGCAATGCTCTTGCCATTGCTTGATCTTGGTCAATAAAAATTGTTGCAGGCCTCTTTTGCATGTTTGTTTTGAGGAAAGGTTCAAACAACCACTTGAATGATTTTATGGTCTCATCATATAGCAAAGTCGCACCAAAAATTACAATTCCACTATAATGATTAAGTACTCAAAATATGGCAAGAGGCCTATGGCTACGATTTGTGCAATATGTGGTATCCAATGAAATTACATCTCCAAAATAAGCATAGTCTACAAGCATGTGAGTATCAGCCCAAAAAATATTTGTAATTTGATTTTCCATGTTAAGTTTGTATGAATGATAAAATGAAAGGTTCTTAATAATCTGTTCTTCAATATAATTCAATAACCATCCTACTTCTCCATTTGCCATACTTCTTTTTTGTTTAGTCTTCAAATAATTTTTCATATCAATTCGTGTGAAACTAAGATTAGCTCGCCCACTTGCTTGCTTACTCATAAGGTCAAATGTTACTTTTTGTTGAAGTCCAGTATCCCTAGCCCAATCAATCTCATTTGCTTGTGCATCACCCATTAAGTTCTGCACAAGTTTTATGGGGGGAAAAAATCCTATTCTTTACTTGTATGTCTTTTGCTATATCGCAAGAAAAAGTTTAGATTGGCCAACAAAATATGTTGTTATCATAATGTACACATGAAAGTAATTATAAGACATCATTTTTTGTCCTCTATTTTGGCATTTGGTTGTTATAGTGAAAGGACAAAGAAAAATAAAGAAACTTTCCACGAATGAATACACTAACAACATCTTAATCTATGGATGATTAATGCATGAACCCAGTTATAGATATTACTACCTTCAGTCTTTAATATAAGGCCTCGTTTGACTTTTATTTTGGTCCTAAATATAAGACCCCAATCCACTTTGTCTCTCAATTTATTTATTTTTTTCTAAAGTAGTCTTTCTAATAATATTAGTTCTAGCCGATAAACTTGATTAGCAAGGACATTTTAGGAAAGACAACACCTATTTATTACAAATAACTAACTTAACTTATTTCCTTAATCTATTCAAATTAGTCAACTAGCTCTTATATTTATGACTAAAGGTAGTATTTTATTTGTTTCTATATTATTCTTATCCGTTTATTCGATGTGCCCTCACAATCCTCTATTTAATTATAGTCAATAGATAAGGCCAATTGATTGATTCACTTCTTCTCTTAAACTAAAGTTATGAATGCTTTAATTATCAAGCCAAAAAAGTTACGATTAGCTTCTTTATCTTCTATTCCTTCCTTCCTTTCTTTTAATGAAGTGGAGGGTTGTGTTTTGAAATAAAAAGGCCAAACCGTATCAGATACGGAAAACAAAATTTTGATCACTAGCCATAAAAGATACGTTTCCACATGTTTTATCACAGCATTATATAACTTCATGATATTTTGCGAACAATTGTCTGTTTTTTTTTTTTGCACTGGATATCTTTGGCGTATTCACTACAAAAAATTTGACTTTTGGCGGCAACAAATGTCACCGCTGAAATTCTAAAGGTCGTCGCTGAAAAGTTTCAGTGATGACATTTTGTCACCACTAGGTTGTTGTCGTAACGGTCATGGTTGAAACTTATCAGCAGCAACATAACAAAGTTGCCGCTAAAAGTCCTTTCAGCAGCGACATAAGATCAAGAGTTTGTTATCATGAAATGTCGCCACTGAAACATAGGAATCAGCGGCGACAGTTGTTTTAGTGGCGATGGCCATTGTCGCCACTGAAACCACAATCAGTGATGACAAAAATGTCACTGCTGAAAATGGTAATCAGCAGCGACAATGTGTCACCACTGATTACCATTTTCATTATGTCGCCGCCAATTACACTTTTTAGCAGCAACATTTATGTCACCGCTGAAAGTTTAATTATTTTAACATGTTAATTATACATTTTTTTATTTATATTCTTGATAAATGTGATCATAAGGTTTAATAAAAATAAAGTAATTAACTGATAAATATATTAAATAATAAGATTTATAACCATCAAAGTGTTTTTATGTCTTTAATAAAAATAAAAATTGTTCAATTAAAAGATACATTATATAATGCAAAAGAAAAATTACGTATAGGGACCAAGACTAGGGACGCTAGAAGTAGGAGTATCCGCAGGAGCATTTAATTGCATCTTTTGCATGAAAGCAGTGAACTGAGCTTGTATTCTCTACTCCATCAATTGTTCCATCTTTTGTTCAAGTTGTGTGCACTCTACTTCCATCTTTGCTCACTCTGCTGCATGTTCTGCTTCCATTTTTTCTCACTCTACTGCACGTTCTGCTTCCATCTTCTTCACACAATATCCAATCAGTTTCACGAGGTGTGAGTGTCTTAGTTGGCCCAACAAAGTAGCTTCTGTCTGCAATTTGATTTTTGACAGATAATATTCATATCTTCATTTTTAAAGAAGCAACACAATATAGATATATTGGGTCCGTTTGGATGAGCGATTGGAAAAGCAGCTTATAGGAAAAGTAGCTTATAGAAAAGTGAAGTTGGTAAAAGCTAAATTGGATAAGCTGAATTGTGTTTGGATTGGAGTTCAGAAAAGCTAGTTTGCAGAAGTGAGATTGGTAAAAAGTTGTTTGGATTACAGTTGAGTAAAAGTAAGTTTGGTTATAAAATGACCAAAATGGGTATAAGTGTGAATAAATAATGAAATATGATAAAAAAAAATAATTTGACATAATACAATGAAATTAAAATAATTTATTATGAAGAAGTCAAATTAATGAGTGAATTAAATTTTAAAATTTCAAAAAAATCATAACAAATATTTTAAATATAATGTGAAACATGAAAAAAAAATGAACTGATATAATACAATGAATTATTGTTAATTTAATATGAAGAAGTGAAATTGATTGAGGGAATTAAATTTGAAAACATAAGAGAAATGGAAAAAAAATTGCAAATATAAAACGAAACATAATTTGAATGGGTAAACATGTTTTGAACTCCAATTTGCAGTATTGCAACAAAGTGAAACTAAATAATATTACATAATTAATCAATAGATAAGCTATGGATAATTTGGTCTCTGATTGCATCACGGACGCGATTCATATGCGATGAAGACTGTGATGTAACATTTGAAGATGATGGTTGACTACTTTCAGCCTGATCATGTTCGCCGACATTATTACCATTTTCAGCTTGTTCAAAAAACAAGTCGGAACTCAAATATCTCCTTATAAGATTATGAATGGCCATTGTTGCACAAACCAGATATACTTGTGTTTGGAAGTCGTAACTGCGCATATTTCGTAGGACTTGAAATCTATTCTTCTAAACACCGAATGTTCTTTCTATTGTGCACCTTAAACTGGAATGATAATAATTGAAGGCTTCGTTACTATTTCGGAATCCTACTTGTCGTCGGAAGTCTGGAAGGTGGTAGCACTCAGATCTGTATGGACCTAGATATCCATTTGGTGTTGGATATCCCGCATCAACCAAGTAATATTTCCCTAATGATTCATGAAACAATTTGAGAGATTGTGAAATGAATAAAAGTATGAAATAATTAAAAAGACATGCATGATTGGAACACATAAACATATACCTGGAGGTGGATGAGGGAAATTAAGAGATGAATTTGTAATAGCACTATCAAATATACGAGCATCATGTGCAGATCCCTCCTATCCTGCCAAGACAAAAGTGAAACACATATCCCAATCACATATAGCCATGACATTTTGTGATGGATTTCCCTTTCTGCCAATAAATTTGTCTCGTCTTGCAGCGGGGACAACACACTGTATATGAGTGCCATCAATTGCTCCGATTGCGTCCTTAAAAAATGGGTAGTAACGTGGATCGTTCTCAATTTTTCTATGAGTTGCACGAAATGTTGGATCTATGGGTCTAATAAGTTCACTCGATAGGCTAAGACAAGCTTGCAGTACATTGTGAAAGTGCCTACTTACAGTTTCCCCTGAACGTTGAAATCGTTCCTGGATCATCCTATTGCATTGTCCATGTGCAACCGTGTTTAAAAACATCGCAACCATTTCCTCAATTCCTACGTACTTAGACTTTTGTAAACCATGTTCCTCCAATTTAGTACATAAGAGGTAGAAAACATCTTTATCCATTCTAAACATTTCATGACATCGATCATCATGCCCATTCATAATGCCTTGTGCCCATAAATTTCCTGTCTGCTCACTAGTTTTGCACGGTTGTTTAAACATGTACATTTCACAATAATGACCAACCAATGCACCTACTGCTTCATATTGTGTTAATTCCTCATTAATTATGGCTAAATGGTCATCTTCATTTGACCGTGAATCGTTATTCCAATTCCATAAACTATCTTCATTCCATGGTGAATCATCGTTCCAATTAGCCATTTCTAGAATTAACCCTGTAACTGTGGTAAAAACAATGTAAGCATTATAAGGATTACACTAAACAAAGTGTAAATAATTTTCATTCTGCAAACAGAAAAACCACATGCATAGATGACAAGTAGACATTAGCGTAAATATATTACATAATGATTAATAAAGTTCCTACAACATGCCACATCAGTTTAGGTTAAAACAGCAGATAGTTCAGGTTAACAAGTGCTATAACAATAGTGAAACAACTAAGTCCTAAGCTAAATCCTATCCTGCAGGTCACTTCCATGTGTCTGGGTCTTGTGCTGCCGGGATCAACCACGCCAACAACTTGCTTCTATCATGCATAAACCCCAAATAGGCTCGTCTAGCCCACCTCAGCCGCGTAAGCATCTTGGCACATGCATAATATAATTGATTGTCATCATTAAGCTCCTCAACGGTAGTCAGGTGTGCCAAAACCTTATCAACTATTTGGGGATCTTCAACCAATGCTGCTGCTCGCTTGTCAGAAGCAGCTGCTATGACACTCAGGCTATCAGAAATTAATGTAGATGCAGCAACTTTCTTCTTCTTCTTCGCATCTGATGTCTCACCCTTCTTTCTCTTTCCATAGCTTCCTGAGCCACTTGGTCCAGTACTTGCGGGGTTGTTTATGTTGCAAGCAGCGAAGTCATCTGTGAACCCTGCATTGGCTGTTGGGTCCACACCAAAGTTTTCATCCTCACTATCCCCTGACCCTTCTTGTTGGTCTAGCCCGACTCTATAAACATCCTCCTCTTCTGTGTCAGGCTGTGGAGCAAACGCTGGCTGAGGCTGTGAGGCTGATGGTGCGTACGCATACTCTCCCGAAGCCACAACATCTTTGAATATTTTCATCAGATCTAATGCAAACATCAGCCCCTGATGTCTAAATTTCTTGAAATTAGGGTCCACCTACATGAACATAATTAGGCATAATTAAGCGCTGTTCCTTCTGATATTCAAAATTAAAACTCAACTAACACAAATAATTACCAGTATTTTTCGTTGCCACCACTCATCAGAGGCCAACACCCTATTTGTGGCTGCATCATAACCAATGCCAGTCTCCCCAGACATCAGTTTTTCCCACAACTTCCAATCTTTTCTCAATACATCAAATCTGTTCTTCAGTTGCCTCCTGTCATACATTTTCCCGCTCCTTTCCTGAAAATTCTTTTCAATTTTCAACCAACCAGGTCTTGTAAACGATGTTCCTTGTCTTTCTTTGTGCACTATTTGCTCGGCACAAACATCGATTAGAATTTTTGTCGTGTAATGATCCCATGTCGCTTTTCCCTTGTCATTATCCATTTCTCTACGCCCTTTGATCGAGATAAGAGTAACTAAATCAACCAAAGCCCTAAATATGTAATAATAAAAGCCATATTATATAACACATACGTTGTAACCAAACAAACATATATCACCAAGTAACACATTTTAATTGCATAAGCTGTTTAGTTTTCTTATTCAATATTTTTTAAAATTATAAATATATAATCACAATGTCAATGTCCACTATTTTCCAGTGGTAATTGATTGTGAACGTTTTGAAATTAAATTTTCAATATATCATATAAATTGAACCTAAACTGCATTACATTGTTTAATTTTTATCCTAATTTAACTGTGTAAAAGTCAAATAAAAACCAGATTAAGAATGATGAACAAGATTATTTACAAAAATATGTTATATTTATTATAATTAACTAATTTACATAACTTTTTAAATATAATTAAATTAGTTAAATAAATATCATATTAGAGAGAAGTAAGAGAATATAACAGGAGAAAGAAAAACATTAAATTTATTTTGATTGAGACTTCCCGAAATTAATTCCAAATGATTTTTAAGTAATTACCCACATAGTCCTTAATTTCTTTGTATAGTATAAATTAATGTCTTATTACTTTGCTCTATCAATGCCGTTAATTAACTCTATCAAATGAACCATCCGGACACACATATATACACCATGTTACCATCTCATTCTCTTCTACCCTACCCTCATAGAGATCGAATCCTATAACCATAAAAACCAAGAGACCGAAGCTAGGGACATGTAAAACAAAAACCATTGTAATTCTGAAAATTACAATTTCAGAGTTACATATCTCGCCATTAACAACATAGATATATACTCAACAATTTAAATCCCCAACACTGCACACCCAAGCCTTCGGTCATATACACACATTTATGCTCTTCATTTTCTCATTAAGCTAGAGCCGTTTCCTCGATTCGTCCTTCAAAAACAGAGGCAGAAAATCCACATGCAACCAGAAAATCCTCATTAAACAATTAACCAACATCCAACAAAAGATTATTGTAACCGAAAACCATAAAATTCAAAACATGAAGCCCCTGTTTCAGTGAACTAACAAGTCGGTCCATCACAAATCGAAATCAGTAACAACACAAATTCAAGGACCACCGGAATTTCAAGGACGACAGCAACCACAAATTCAAGGACCACTGGAATTTCAAGGACGACAGAACCACAGGGATCAAATCGGAAAACCAACATAACAAAATTAAACCGGCCAACCTGATCCAACCAACCGAAGCCTGCCAGAGGTAGATCGGATGGTGTATTGCTTTGGGAAGAGAAGAACTCCACGCACGGCTCAAATGCGATGTCGGTTGCAGACGGTGAGAGCCGATTCGATTTGTGATGAACGAGCAGCATCCACCGAAGGACCTGGTCGAGGCGACCACAGACGGAGCTCACGGTCACCAGCGACGGAGCTTCTTGCAGGCGACCACCGACGGACCTGGCCGAGGCGACCACAGACAGAGCTCACGGTCAAACACCAAACGACTTCCGACCACTGGACACGCACACCTCCCACCCAACAGCCGACCTCACCACAATGACGGGACGGAGGTCACGGTCACTAGCGACGGAGCTTCTCGGAGGCGACCACCGACGGACCTTCTTGTCGAGGCGAGCAAAGACAGAGCAAGTGGGGGCTCGGGTTGAAGAAGTCGGACTCTCGCTCACGGGGGAATAGGGAGAACGCACATGAATAGAGAGAAAAGTAAAAGGAATATATTTCTTTGTCAGAACGGTCATAAGCTACTTTCAGATAATCCAGAAACTCCCCCTCTCCAGCTTATCCCAATCGCAGGTTGAAGGGGCTTAAAAATTCAGAAGCCCAATTGTTATAAAGCTCAGCCAAACGGTCCCTTTTTCTCACTGAGCTTATAAGTCATTATAAGCTACGTTTGGGCCAGCAAACGCAGACCCAAACAGGCACATTATTGTCCCATTTCCAAGCATGTTGAATACATTTTAATCATGCAAAAACTTTAAGTAAATAAGGCATTAAAAATGACAAATGTGAGAAAATAAAGACTTATGAGAATCAAAATCTTAACTAAAGTTGTAAAAAACAAAAATATGGGAAACCTATCTACTAAAATTTAGTTAAATACATGTACTATTGAATTCATCTCATAAATTAATTTTCCCTCCTATTACTCCTTATGGTTTGTTTTAATTTTTTAGCAAGAGGAAAACACAACATTAGTTATAATGTTATACGAGCAGCATCAAAAATTTACAACTACATACATTCATTTCGCAGAAACCAGAAAAAATAATGTTAGACAACATCCTTTGACTGGGCTTGTTCTATTTCCATGGCCTTATATATATATATATATATATATATATATTCTTAGGGAGCATACAACCTTAAACCTCCACTTCTTAAATAGACTATGCATAATCATCATCGAAACTCTTCAAACACGCACACACTGTTGAGATGCGTGACTGATATACATTGCCATTTTATAGTCGAGATGCAAATGCAAACCTACCCATAATTTAGTATATGCTTCTTTACCTTTCACGCTAGTACCTGAGAGAGTTAGTATATTTTAGTATATGATTATGTCTTTGTTCCAAGAAAGAATACCTAAAATAAGCTTTGATGATTCCAAATCAAATTGATCAATTGAAACATAACCCTTGTTTATATATACGTGGGACTTTAATTAAGTGTAGGTTCATCACTTGTGTCACAGGTCATGCAAGTGGGATTCCTTTATCTAGAGGCAATTAGGAAACTGGTTAAAGGTATGTATTACTTGCACATGTTTAATAATAATGTGTATGAACAGATAAGAGGACTTGAAACATATCTTAAATAAGAAAACTTTGTTTCGTGAGAAATATTCAGTTGATTGGATCTAAGATTCAGTGGACTAGATGCTAAAATAATGAAGCAGAGATGAACTATGCTTAGAGATAGAGTTGACTTGATCTGAGTTTTCCCCCTTTTGGTCCGAGGCTGACATTTAGGCCATTAGATTTTTAGCTTAAAGTGGATACAGTAAAAGTAGAGTATAGAGAAGAGATCCTAGTCATCGTGATTTAAACTCCTGTTTGACATCCAGTTCTCTTGAACTTGATGGGATTTCTACTTTTCAAAATCAGAGTACGCAAAGCAGCTTTGATACTAAGGTTTCTAAGCTCAACTAGAACTTCTACTAAGGTTTTTCCACAGCTCATTTTCCAACTAGCTTTCCCACTCCTGGAGGATTTTACAAATGAAATGATTGAAGGATATGTACTTAGAAATAATAGATGGTTAAACAGATCAAGCAGATTTACAATGAAATTTCAAAGATAATTCACTTAGCTTCTGTGTCTTCTCTATTCATCACCATTCAGATATGCAAACCTCAAGAATTTATCCACTCGAACATCTGAATTAGTCGCATGGCTTAATTCATTTTCGTGAAGATGGACGCTGGAAGTCAGACACTCAAAGCCACAAGAAAATGAAATAGGATTCTATAATATACTCCTCTTCACATACAATCAATCACAGCAAACCAGAGGGAAAAACAGATCTAAAAGTGCAGAATAGAGAAGGGAAAAATATACAGCACCATAAGACTTCAAGTGAAGAAGAAGACCGGTGCACATACATGGATGACGACAAGAAAGGACGCTGGAAGTTATGGAGTAAACATGAAGATGGACGCTGGAAGTTAGTCGCTTAAAGCCTTGCTTGTATCTGCACGGCATTGGTGAGAGGGAAAAATGAAATTTTTAGAAGATGGGGCGGGTTAAACAAATTGTTTTGGGTTTCAAAATGAAAAAGTTTATATATATATATATATATATAAACAAGGCGCTAGCCCCAGCAAAAACACGTGTGGCTTTACTGGCGGGGGGTGCTATAGCTTTCGCCAGGTCCCGCGTTTGAACCAGCCAGATGACAGTTTATTGGTTATTTTTAACCTTTTTGAGCCAAAATGAATGTGTGAAAAATCAATAGGGCATTCAGCAAACTCAAACATGGGACCTCTGGATTGTAAGAAGCAGACATAGCCAATCAAGCTATTGAATTCTTTTAAAGTGATTGTGCAATAGAAAATATATATATAATATAAACCGTATATGTTTTATAAAACTTAATTAATCACATTTTAAATAAAAAAATAAATCATAATGATATTTAATTAACTATATACATGATTTTATTAACTATATCTCTCAAACATATTTTAACTAATTATATTATCTCCTTCAATAATTTTATTTCTCAATCCTCTCATACATATGTTCATAATCAAATATTATTATATCAATTAAGTATGCTCACACTAATTTAATTATAATAATCTCCCTCATATATTAATTATGTTATCCCTTTCAATTATAATGTCCTTCTCACACACACACACACACACACACACACACACACTTTATCTCTCTTCTAATTATATTTATATCTACCTCTCACACACACTCTATCCTTCACTACTTTCCCCATCACTCAAACTTACATGCTTTCTCATGCATGCCTCCACCTCATTTCTCTCCCATGCATAATGTTCTTCCATTCCATCTCTCAAACATTTAATTATAGTATATATGTGTTTTATACACACTCCAAACTATCTTCCTCTCCCTTTCTCTCTCCCTTTCTCACTCAAACACTACATTATCTTTCTTTTATTCTCTCTCTAATACAATAATACATAAAAAAAACAATAATTATCAAAGTTACTTAATCACACAAATAAAAGATTATAATATAAACTTTTTACAAAAATAAAAAATGGTAAAAAAATATGAAAAAACTTTCAGCGGTGACTAATTGTCGATGCTGAAAGGGTGTTTCAGCGGCGACAAATGGTGTCGCCACTGAAAGCAATATTCAATGGCGACTATTTGTCACCGCTGATCGCTGTTACTACCATTTTTGGCGGTGATAAGAATGTCGCTACCAAAAGGCTTGACTTTTGGCGGCAACACTTCTTGTCGCCGCTAAAAGTCATATTTTCAGTGGCGACTTTATTTGTCGCTGCTGAAAGTCACCTCTGAAAGTCCAGTTTTTTGTAGTGATTAGAGCGTGCTTGATTTAGCAGTGACAAAACTGACTTTTGCAAAAATCAGTTAGGATAAAAGTAAGTTAGTGTAATGTGATTTATATTTAGAATTTATATTTGGATTGGTTTTTTTATAAAACCAAGCTTGCTAAATTGAAACTTGTCTGGATAAGTAATAGAAAAGTAAGTTTAAGTGTAAAATGATTGAAAAGGGTATTGTTTTCATCCAAACTATTTTGTCTGACTTATAAATTGATTTGTAATTTAGTGATATGCATAAATATTTTAGAGAGATCATGTAACATATGATATAATTAAGTAATTTATTTAGCTTTATCAATCTTTTTAAATTAGTCCACTGGGTTTTATATTAAGGACCTGAAACCGTATATCATATGTATATAATTTGATAAATTTAAGAAAAACAATAAAATGAAAAATAATTAAATTATTACTAAAAAAATAAAATTATTAGATCAAGATGCGACCCATTTAAATACCCTTATATATCTTTTTTTTCATCCTTATTTACTTTCTCTCTCCATGTCGGCAACTCGAAAAGCTCAAATTTTGAGCATTTAACCACAACTAACTTTTGAAGCAAATGTTCGTTAGGCAAAAAGTCCACCCAAATATATGCAGTTACGATCATGTTTTGCTCTGAGTGCTCTCTCTTGGAACTCATGCCGTGTTTTCTGAGCTTTGAGATGGATGACCCCAGCGTTCGGAAAATGCCTCCGGATAGGACATCAGATGAAAAGGATCAAACAGACCGAGCCAAAAAAATCAAAGAAGGAAGTAAAAGAAGATGCTCTTATGTCGGATAGAATGATTGACACAGAGGAAGTCACTGAAGAAACCAGTGGGACTAAGACACCGCACGCTCCTCCCTTATCTTACAAGGACTCCTTGCTGGGCTTCAAAGGGGAAGATTTTAACGGGGTGGCTCACGGGAACTCACACATGGATGAAGACCCCTTGCTGTTAGACCTTATTGATCAAGAATGGACCATCCCTGAACCGTCAGAGGAACTCAAAAATCTGATGAAAATATACCCTGTGGTCCCGATCACACCAGAGGAATACAATGAATGGTGCAGACCAAGGAATAGATCGCTTATAATAACTGTTCTGGGGGCAAAGTTTAATGTCTATAGGTTGAAGGAAAGCCTGACCAGAGCATGGAAATTCGATAACTTTGAACCGATCTATTTACCAAACAACTACTATGTTGTGCGCTTTAAAAACCTAGAAACGTGGGGAGACCAATATAAAAGAGTCTTCTTTGAAGGTCCCTGGATTGTGGGGTAACACACAGTGCTAGTGCAAAGGTGGTCACCTTATTTTGACCCCTTTAACAATCCGTTGGGAAGGGTGGCAACATGGGTCAGAATCCCACACATCCCGTTGTTATGTTATACAAAAAACTTCATTTGGAGGCTAGGTGACATGATCGGAAAGACCCTGAAGGTTGACATGAATACCATAGCTAACCTAGAAGATAAAAAAGCAAGGGTAGAAAGAGGTAGATATGCTAGAATATGCGTTGAAATCGACTTACAGAAGAAGTTGATCCCCAGAATAATATCGGCATCAGCGCTGTTCAATGTTGAATATGAAGGACTGGGTCTCATATGTTTTCAATGTGGAAGATATGGGCATAGGAAAGAGGCGTGCCCATGGAAGAAGTCAGCCAAAAAAGTAGATATTCAACAAGGAGGAAGCTCTTCATCACCCCCACCAAAGATGTCGCCGGCGAAACCTCTACCGGCTGAGGAAGACCAGTTTGGGCCATGGATGATGGTACAATGTACGGGCAGGACACGTGGACCTAGATTTGAAAATAGAAAAGACAGACATGAAGGAAGAGGAGACTATGTCAGAACTGACTGTAAGAATAGCGGTAAGGAAGGACAGACACGCTTTGAGGTACTCACTAATATAGGAAATGATTCAAATGACGGTTTTGATGAGGAGGAAGAGAGGAAAAGGGAGGCGCTGGAGCATAGGTCGGCTGAAAGGGAGAGAGCTGTTGTGCCTATGGAAGGAAGAGTTGGGGTGCCGAGAAATAAGGCGGAAACTTCAAAAAATTCAAATAAAGGCAAGACAAAGGAGTTTGTGGTGGGAAAAAAAGTAGTGATATACCAAGGGAAGGAAAATACAAAGCCCAAAGAACAAGTAAACCCAAGACAAGCCCAAAGTAATGTGGACGGGAAACCAAAGGCTGAAGGATGGCTAGATCAACCAAAGAACCAAATAGGCAAGAAGACCATGGGCCATAGAGCCCATAATATGGTGGCAGGAAATCTGGACCTAAAAGAGTCCGAATACCTGAAGCAGAAAGCCTTTTGAACACTGGAAATGGCTCTATGCAAGGAACAGAAAGGGAAGAAGAGACATAAGCAACAAGTACTATCGTGCTATACGAGAAGGAAAAAACAAGAGATCAGGAGATGGGAAAACACTGGGAAAATCCTCCACAACCACCCTCGGTAATTGATGGGAGAACAAAGAGCTATAGGGACTCTTTATGCAGAGCCGAAGTTGGGTCGAAGCAAGAAGATAAAGCCCCAGACTTGTAAGGGCCCTATCCCTCTCCTTTTTTCCTCTGTCTTTTTCAAATGATTGTTGCATCGTGGAATTGCCGAGGAGCAGGTTCGAAAACGTTCCCACAGTTAATCAATGAAGTGGTAAAAAAGTACAGAATTAATATTATGGGAATTATGGAACCTCGCATTAGTAGAGCTAGAGCAGATAAAGTAGTAAAGAAGATGGGTTTCAATAATTGGATAAGAATGGAGTCTACGGGCTATGTAGGAGGAATTTAGGTACTCTAGAAAGACTGGGAAGTTTCAATTGAGTATGTTTGCTCAACCACCCAACTACTCTATTGCAAAATAACTAGCAAAACTTCGGCAGAAACTATGCTAGTTACGTTCGTCTATGGAGACACAAACCCTTTGAGGAGACGGGAGCTATGAACTTCCTTAAGGAACATAGTGAGTTTAATTGATTCTGACTGGATGGTTCTAGGGGACTTCAACACTTTCCTCACCCCGGAGGACAAGGTGGGGGGAATACAACCGGACAATAGCATTATGATATCTTTTAGATCCTGTATAGATGATTGTAATCTCCTAGAAATACCAGTGGTGGGCGATAGATTCACCTGGGAAAGAAATGAAGTAAAAGAAAGACTTGACTGGGCCTTTGGAAACTTTAACTGGGACATAAATCACCCTCACATGAAGGCTCACCACAAACTGCGTTTTAAGTCGGACCGCAGAATGATAGTAGTGTTTGACGGTGGTAAGAATAGAAACAACAGAGGCAATAGAGTTTTCAAATATTAAGCTGCTTGGTGTTTAGAACAAGACTTCCCAGATATTGTTGCAGTTTCGTGGGAAAACAAAACTGGCTCCAAGGATGTGACCCTTTCAAAAAATCAGCCATGGAGTGGAATGAAAAAGTAGTAGGAAGTGTGGCAGCCAAGAAGAAGAAGTTGTTAAGAAGACTGGAAGGTATTGACAAGGCAAGACAGAATAACAGATCAAATGGACTCCAAAGACTAGAAAAAAGAATATAGGAAGATTACAACAAATTAGCAGCTCAAGAAGAATTAATATGGTTCCAAAAGTCTCGAAGCAAGTGGCTAAAGTGGGGAGATAGAAATATGAGCTTCTTTCACGCCACAACAGTAATAAGAAGGAAGAGAAGCTCCATTGAAGCCTGCAGGATACGAATGGGAGTTGGACCTATGATCAAGAAACCATGAAAGGAATGGCTTTTAATTTCTATAAAACTCTCTGTACAGCAGAAAACAATATAAGACCAATCTCTACCTGGCCGATGTCCTTCCCACCCCTCCAGACCCAACAATTAAATCTCATTCAGAGGGAAATCTCGGCTATAGAAATAAAGAATGCAGCTTTTGAAATGGGGGCTTTTAAAGCCCCAGGACCAGATGGCCTACAACCCCACTTCTTCCAAACACAGTGGGATAAAGTAGGTACAAAAATCTATGAGCTACTCAACACAGCCTGGTTTGACCCCACCTCTCTCAGGGACCTAAATCAGACGCATATAATTTTAGTCCCGAAAGTAGAATAACCTACCTCCCTGAAAGACTTTAGACCAATTTCATTGTGCAATGTTAGCTTTAAGATCTTAAGCAAAGTTCTTGCAAACAAATTCAAAGGAGTTATGCCTTACCTAATCAAAGAGAACCAATGTAGCTTCATACGTGGACGTTAGAGCTGTGATAACATCATACTTGCACAAGAGGCAATCCACACAATGAGAACAAAGAGGAGTGGAACAGGATTTATTGCTATAAAAGTGGATATGGAAAAAGCTTATGACAGGCTAGATTGGAACTTCCTAGAATTCACAATGAAAAGTCTTGGCCTATCAGATAATTCTGTCCACATCATAATGAAATGCATCTCCACAGGCTCAATGAGAGTCTTATGGAATGGGGTGGCAACAGAGAGCTTTCAACCATCTAGAGGAGTGAGACAGGGAGATCCTCTAAGCCCCTACCTATTCGTCCTGTGCATGGAAAGGCTGGGGCAACTGATTTAGCATGAGATTGAAATGGGAAGATGGAAGCCGATGAAACTGAGTACAAGAGGACCAATCATCTCACATCTTTTCTTTGCTGATGATTTGGTTCTGTTCGGAGAAGTGTCAACAGATCAGACGTTGGAAATGAGAAACATCATGCATTTCTTCTGTCAGGTCTCGGGAACAAGTTAAAGGCTTTTGTCTCCTGAAATGTAAATTTTAACAGAGCATACGAACTGAGCCAGATGGTTGGGATTGGTCTTACCCAAAACCTCAAAAAATATCTAGGTGTACCGATCCTACACAAAAGAGTAACCAAGATGACATTTGCTCCCTTAATTCAGAAGGTGAGATCAAGACTGGCAAACGGGAAAGGAAGATTCCTGAGCCTAGCAGGGAGAATAGTACTCATCAATTCGGTTATCTCAACTCTCCCTTCTTACCAAATGCAAACAATACTACTCCTAAAAGGCATCCTAGCCGAACTGGAAAAAAATCAGTAGAACCTTTTTCTGGAATCACAAAAATGGAGGGAGGAAACTTCATCTTTTGGCTTGGGACGTGATTAAAAAAGGGAAAAGAAGAAGGTGGTCTTGGAATCAAAGATCTACATAGTCAAAACGTGGCTTTCATCATGAAACTATGCTGGGGAATCCTTACAAAACCACAAGCAATGTGGGTCAAATGCTTGAAGGCAAAATATGATTGTGGGGAGAATAGGATGCCGTAAATCATTCAAAAAAGAAACCAATCTGAAGTTTGGAGGGCGATAACACTGGTTTGGAAAGAGTTCCTGAAAGGTGTGGGATTCCAACTACAGAGTGGAGAAACAACAAAAGCTTGGAGTGATTTGTTAAGTCCTCTGGAGCTCCCTTTAAAATTCTATGCAAATAGGAACTTCCACCAAATAAATCCAGATGAACAGGTGAGGAACTTTGTGACAGATAATGGCCATTGGAATCTGATTAGATGGGGAGAATGTCTCCCTAGTTGGGTGCTGGAGAAAATCAAAATGACTAGACCGCCAACAGGGAGGGGCGAGGATAAAATATGCTGGAGAAATGCCACAGATGGAAATTTCAGTGTTGGGACTGCATATAGGATGATCTATGAAAAGCATAATAGAAACATAAATCCTATTTGGAAGCAAATTTGGCACTGGGGAATTCCTGAAAGAGCAAAATTTTTCATGTGGCAAGTTTTCCACGAGAGAATTCCTACGAATGGAACCAGAGCAAAACACTTAAACAATGAAACTGAGGAGTGTCCGTTTGAGTGTGGTTGCAAAGAATCTATCTTACATACACTGAGAGACTGTGAGGCAGCAAAGAGAGTGTGGTTACATATAATTAACCCATTGTATTATGTTGTTTTCTTCTTCTGTGATTTGCAGGTATGGCTCAAATGGAACACCGAAAACAACCCAGCAAATGGAAGATTTTCTAGATGGCCGTGGAGTCGAATCTTTGGACAAGTTTGTTGGGCTCTTTGGAAGAATAGATGTAAGAAAGCATTCGGGGAGAAGACTACTCGACCAAAGGACCAAATGTTCAAGATCCTGAACCACCTAATGGAGGAGGTACATCAAGAAAAATTTCACCACCAGATATACCAGGTTCCAGAGAGGAGCACCGCACAGCGTGATCCCCCACCTCTTGAGTGTGTCAGAATTGATGTGGACGGGTCCAAATCAAGAGAAGGTACAGCAACTTGTGGAGGATTTATTAGTGATTATCAATGTCATTGGAAGGGTGGATTTGAACGGAAGTTGGGTACCATGCCCTCAACAACTGCGGAGATACACGCTATACTGACTAGACTGCAACTTTGCAAGCAGATGGGGTATAGTAAAATAAAGCTATACACGGATTCGGCCGAGGCTCTTCACCTACTTCTGACCGATTGTGAGCCCTCACACCCTCTGACGGAGACGATACAAGTCTTGAGAAATTTGATCTTTGATAAATGGGACATCGAAATCCTGCACTCATTCAGGGAAAATCTGGGATGTGTCGATAAGCTTGCTACGATGGCTCATCATATTGAGCAAGATTGTATATTTCTACAGGATATCCCGAATTATTGCTGGGAGTATTTTGATGATGGACAGGGACAAATGGGTCAGTAACCCGGGTTGCTTTTTGTAACACTCAAGCTTCTTGCTTGCCTTTCAATATTAAAAAAAAAAAATTCCACCCAAATATCCTAAAAGCTCCAACTCAGCACAAACCTTAGTTTCATCAATTCCAACGCACATTCCCCCCTTTCCCAAACGGTGATCCAAACAGACGCTTAAGGGCTCGTTTGGATTGCCGTTAGGAATGATAAAAGCAAATGGAGAAATGTGAAACTGAGGTTTGTGGCTTATTGTGGCTCAGAAGATTGTTTAGATAGGGCTTCTTTTCTAATTGACTTATGGAAAAAAGTAACTTTTCTAACTGACTTATCCAATGCAATCTGGATCAACTTTTCTAACTGACTTATGAAAAAATTGTGCAAAGCTTATGATCTAATTAGTTATATGATTTCATTTGCTTTAATTAGAGAATAAATGAATTTTAATTTATATTCATGTTTGTCTATTATGTATATTTAATTAATTATCTACAATGTGTTCTCAAATTTTTCTCCGTAACAAATATTTTTATTTTATAATTTCACAAATAAACTATTTATATTTTATCATAATAATTTTATGTATTTTTTAAACTATTATCACATTAAAAACATAAAATTTCAAGCACTACTATTCAATAAAGTTCATACCCTTTTTAGTCATTTTATAA